TGCCTGGGCTTCTGGTGTCAGTGAGGTTGGGTGAGCAGTGAGGTTTGGGAGGGACCGACTTGTTGGCCTTGAGATTGATGCCCAGCTCCTTGCTCGTGGCATTCTGTTCGGCTCAAGGTTCCGGACACAGCTTGCTCTTCTAAGCAGTGTGAGGACTGCGAGAAAGACTTTGTTGGATGCAGCAGGAAAGCACAGCCGCTGGTGGGTGCCAGTGTCCGCTCCTGAGGCTCTGCGCCAAGGTACGTGGATCCCTGCCGTCTCCTGTTTCACACGCTCGCTCAGGTTCTTTGGGGCTTGGTGTCGCTTGTCGCTGACCCACAAAATTTTCCCAGAATTCTTATTTTTTACTGCAGCGTACCCCCTTCCCCATACCAAAATAGACCAGCCTGATTCCCAAATACCACTTTCCACCTTAATCTTAACCGGTGGCCCTTCCTCAATGATTCTTGGCTGCCAATGCTTTTGTATCGGGGTTCTTGTGTTTTCCCCACGCTCAAAATGATTCAACGCATATAGTGCTCGCGCCAAAATCTCCCCTTGTTCTGATACTGGAATTCTTCCCGTATGTCCTTCCCCCTCCCCCAGGACACGAATTTTCTCTCTGAGGAGGCGGTTAGCCCTTTCAACAATAGCTTGACCTTGTGAGTTGCCTGAAATTCCTGTAGTATATGTGATATTCCAACGGGCCAACCACTCTTTAGACGAACGTGAAGTGAAACAAGAGCCATTATCTGTTTTTATGTGGTGTGGCATTCCCAGAACTGCTATGGCTGTGGCCCAATGATGTTGTGCCGCCGTAGAGCTGGTACGGCTGTGCTGTGTAGCAATAATGACTGTAGAGGACGTATCAACTGTCACTGCGAGCCATTGTCTTGGTGCCATTCGTGGTTCCATTGCAAAGTCTGTCTGCCAAATATCCAATGGGGCGAGACCGCGGGGATTAACCCCCGCCCCTAACGCTGGCGCGGAATTACAATATGGACACATCTGCACAATTTCTCTAGCAACTGTAACAGGAATAGAACAAGTTCGAGCTAATGCTTTTGCCCCTATGTGTAATGCAGAATGAAGATCACGAGCCTCTCACAGGGTATACACCTGCCTCCTAGCCACTCGATCAGCTATGTCATTTCCTTTTGTAAAGAATCCTGGGACCTCAGAATGGCTACAGACGTGAAGGATGGCAACAGGCTCTGACCTAACCACTAAGGCATCTTACAATAGGGCTGCAGTTATTGTATTGGGTTGTCCCTCTTTACCCATACGCAATAACATCCTAGCTATGAATGCAGAATCAGTAACAATGTTACAGGGTGTCTGAGGTAAGTATATAATATCAAGGTCCTTTCCAAAGGCCCTTATTGCAGTAAGACGGGCTTTACGTAACAAAAACGAGAGTTGTTCTAACCACGAGATAAATGCTTTTGTCGGCTGAACAGAAAACAACCAGCACAATGGGTGAGGATGAGAGCTAAGGGTATGCCCTATCACAGCTGCTGACCCCTCCTGGCATCTAGTCACTGCACCTTCTAGTGGCTGGTCTGAATTCCACCTCGCAAGCGCATTTGAGGAACAGGCTACTAGTATCTCTTGCCAAGCAGACTCCATCTCTGGTGTCCATTGTCTCTCTTCCTGAGGGTTAGATCCCTTTAGTTGATCATAAAAGGGTTTCGTAAGTCGTGGAGGTATACCTAATGCATTTCACACCCATTGTATGGCCCCCACCAGCTTCTGAACATCCCACAGGGTTGTAATATGGGGTTTGATTTTTAATCCTTCCGGGATCACCGTTTCAGATCCAAACCTGTATCCCAGGAACTCAATTCCTGGTTCTCTCTGAATTTTTTCTTGTGAAATAACAAATCCAGCGGTAGTAAGCACATTAACTATCTGCTCCTCTAGCACTTGCAGCTGAGAATCACTTGGCGCTGCAAGCAACAGGTCGTCCATATAATGAGCAAGCTGACAGTTCGATAATGACTGTTGTACTGGTTCTCTAACCTTGCCTACTACCAGTTGACAAATTATTGGAGAGCAGGTCATTCCCGGCGGAAGAACCTTCCACTGAAATCTTTGAGTGGGTCCCTGATTGTTTATGACCGGGACAGTGAATGCAAAAGCCTCTCTGTCCTGCTCCGCCAGTGGAATGGAGAAGAAGCAATCCTTAAGTTCAATGACCATCAGGGGCCATCCTTCCGGTATAGCCGAAAGTAGAGGTCCCCCTTGCTGAACCGGGCCAAAAGGGACAAGTTGTGCATTGACTGCTCGGAGATCATGTAACAGTCAGAAAGATCCCAATGCTTTCTGAATTACAAAAACGGATGTATTCCAGTTGCTGAGTGACAGTTCTACATGTCCTGCAGCAAACTCTCGTGAAACAAGCTGTACAAGCGCTGCTAATTTATCAACAGGAAGGGGCCACTGATCCACCCAAATGGGAGATGCATCCCGTTTCCAACGCAATGGAATCGCATATTGCAGCGCTAAATGATGGACAGTGGCCCTTTTCATAAATTTGTCAGTTTTATTCCCAACTCAAGAAGGAAGTCCCTGCCTAATATGGATCCTCTTATCGGTACTAAAGTAGGGAGGATGATTACATTTTTCTCCATAGAACCATCATCGTTGATGATTGCGAGCTCTACCACCCTGTCTGCCTTTCTGGTGGGCAGACCCCCCCACACCCGCAATCGCTCTCCACATAAAAGTCGTGGGCCACTGCCGAGGCCAGTCATCTTCTGAGATGACGGTAATATCCGCACCAGAATCGAGTAAAGCCATAAAAAACACCGTTCTGGGCACTGATGGCGGGAGCTCTGAATCCATATATGACATCATAACCTTAATGATTGGTCGTTCTTCTAAATCCATAGTTAATGCCACTGTGGGTGTTGCGCTTCTGGCCCAGCTAGAGATGACGGGCAGGAGCCCTGGGCCATTGGCACCCTCCCTCTCCCGTTTCCCTGCGACTTAATTTTAAATTTCCTACACTGATGTGCAACATGTCCGGCTCCGCCGCATAATTGGCACCGCTTCTCTAGTCCTTGCCCCATCTTCTTAGGGCACTGCGCCTTGAAATGGCCACGCTGCCCACACTTAAAGCACAGGCCTTTATCCCTTCCTTCCCCGGCCTGAGTGGCTGCCACCATCGCGGTCTTAACTGCCGAATTAACTGAAGCAGCCATTCCCTGCATGGCGGCTACTAATCCCTCATTAGTTAATGGTGTGACTCTCTGATGATCTAATACATATTTAATAAGCTCCCCTGGGGTAGTTAGAGTTCCCGGTGCTGCTCTGATGATTTGCTGGATTTCCGGCAGCGATTTTTGTTTAAGACAATCTATTATGACTGGGGATTGGACCTCACTTGGGAGATCAGATCCCTCCACTGCACGAATTAGGTGATTCGCAAAGTCAGTAAATGACTCAAAGGGGCCCTGCTTGATGTCTGCCCATGGAAGCACAGGTTCCGCAACCTTAGCCAATTCTCGCAGGGCTTGAAGGGCTGCAGTTGTAACGGCTGCCAGCTCTCCTGCTCTAAGCAATGCTGCTTGGCCCTCCGGGGATCCCACCATTCCATCTGCCAGGCTCTGAAGCTGTGCGAGACTAGTTCTGTCACCTCTACCCTGGCCATTAGCTGGATGATGGTGGTCACGGGTGGCAGCAGCCACCACAGCTTGAAGTAATCTATTCCATTCATCATACCACAGGGTGTATTGTACAGGTTCAAGAATAACATGCATAAAGTTCACTACATCATATGGCAGAAGACTAGAAGCCATAAGAGCTTCCACTGCTGCCATAGTAACCGGGGAACGCAGACCTTTGATTTTAACTAAATCCGAAAGAAGAGTAATCGCTTTGGAATCCAGAGGAGTCCAAGCTGGGCCCTCTGGTTTTACCAACACCGGGAGAGTGAGTGCGACACGTGCTGGATCTGCGGCCCGTATGTCCTCTCTCACACGAGCCCAATCAGTGAGGGTAGGCGGGCCCCATGAAACGACTGATATGGGACCACGCCCCTCCTGAGCGGACCCCGGGGATATCTGCGTTGGAGCGCCCCTCCCACCACAAGGCAGTGTGGGGCCATCCAAGCCCCTCGGGGGGTGACTGCCGTAGCAAGCGGATTCGGGCAATAGGTGAGTCCTGCCCCCGCTGTTGCGTCCCACAGGTCGCACCACAACTCCTCCAGACATCTCTCCCTCCCCAAAGACCTTCTTATCAACTGTGCTAGAAGTCATACCGAATTCCTCCGCCTACCCTCCTTCCCCATTATCTTTACAGGGCTTAAGTGAAGGATATACGCTGCAAGCCAGGTAAGGAGGCGAGTCCTCCCCTTTATGATATGATCACTCCTGCTCTACTTCGTTCTTCTTTATCTCCAGGGTCGTTGTTTCTGGTGGGGCCGAAGGAGTCAGTGCCATCTTGCCCTCCAGCGAACCTGTAGGGGAGACAAGCCCCCCCCTCTGCCCTAACCCCAGCAGATCCCTAGCACGGTCATCTGCAATTTTCTCCTGTCTCGCTTTCCTAAGAGCTGTTAAAATCAATCCCCACACCTTCAAATCTGCTACTTTCTGAGTAAACATTGCCCTCTGTGAGAGTGCGGCAGTAAACGAATCCCAATTATCGGGATCGTATAAGTCAGAAGGGGATGATAATAGTCCCTCCTTCTCCAGTAAGGAGAGTGTCGCTGAAATTTCCTTCTTAGAAGGAACATTTTTCCCACAATAAATTTTGCATGCATGCAGAATCACCTTTATAACGGCTTCCATATCGCCTCTGGCCGAACTTATGTCTGGCCTCTTCTTGGTGCTTCCCCTAACATCCTAGGGGGATCCCAGCTCCTTCTCCCGAGCCTCCCGCCTGACGAGGAGTAATGGCCACCTCCTCCCCGTCCCTGGGCTTCCACTACTCCGCGGATTTGAAATTACCGCTCCGCAATGGATTCCTGCTTCTGGCAGACAGCTGATTCACTCCCAGGAATCACGTCGAGGTCACCACTTGTTGCCGTACGCACCTGTTCCGCTTCCCCACAAGTCCGCAGCTTGGCCAATTACTGAGATGACACCAATGTGATGAGCAGCAAATGGCGTTTATTACACGTATACACTAACTTATATAGCCTAATTACTTCGTCTACGCCCCTAAGGGCATGCACCACACATCAATCATTAGAGCAGGGAGGGAGTTTAGCACGTCACAACCCACAGGGGGGGAACTCGCAGTCTCGCAGTTGCTGACAACAGCCCCAATTGATTCTGTTGGTCTTCGGGGCTCCCCTGAGTTGCTGCAATGGCAGCAGATAACTGCTGGTTTGACTGCCTTAAGGGCTGTCAGGAAAGATGTCTTCTGCAAAACCCCTAAGCTACCAACTGCCAAGGAAGTTGGTATGTTCCCAGGAAAGACAGGAAGCAGACCATGGATGAGCAGCTACGGGATGTTGGTAAAGCCCAATCTCCTCTATCTTTCCCTTTTCCATCCCCATTTCCTCTCCGTCCCCAATTCCGCTTTATCCCCTTTTCCTCCACATCCCCGTTTTCCCCCTCTTTCTGCCCCGCCTTTGCCCTGCCTTTGCCCCGTCTTTGCCCCGCCTTTTCCCCGCCTTTCCCCCGTTTCTCTTCACCTTCCCCTTTCCCCTTTTCCCCTTTCTCCTTCCTTGTCCTCAGGTCCCCTTTTTTCCTTCCAGGTCCCCTTTTTTCTGTCCATTCCCCCCTTTTATCTCCCCTTTTATCCCCCCTTGTTCCCCTGCTCTCCTACACTCCCCTTTTTCACCTGCTCTCCTCTATCCTTTCCTATTCCTCGTCTCCTTTTCTTTTTCCTCCCCCCCTCATTTTCCTTTTCCCCTTTCCCCCCTTGTCTTCCTTTCCCCTTTTCCCGTCTATCCCTTCTCTTCTTTCCCCCCGTTTTTCTTCTTTATGCCCCCATCCCCACTTCCCCTTTCACCCCCTTTACCTCTTTTCCTCCCCATCTCCCTTTTTGCCCCATCCCTGTTTTCCCATTTTCCTTTTCCCCTCCTTGTACCCATTCGTTTTTCCCTCCTCATTCCCATTCATTTTTCCGTCCCCATCGTCCCCTTTTCTTCCAAAGCTGATTCCATTCGCAGTGCGATGGCGGCTCCTGCGAGCAGCAGAGCCCCGAGCAGCAGCGCTGCGTCTTGGCTCCCCCATTGCCCGCTGCTGAGCTCTTCCTGCCCTGGTTCCTCATTGGCTGAGCGCTGCAGGTTCCCCTTTTTGGCGATGCTTCACCACTCGCACAAACAGCCAGCAGACGCACATTTTTGCTGCCCGAACACACGCAGGCCTTCATTGCTTCATTGCTTTCTCACCACTGCTCTCATCACGAACGTGCGGTTGGAACTTGCGGCACTCAGGTTTACAGCATCAACACAGACACAGCCTCTGAGATACCTCTCCTAAACAGGCTTGTGCTGAGTGCTGTCCTCGTCTTGGGCTTTGTCCAATGCCCACCTTTCTTTTCTAGCCCACTTTGTTGAGGACGGCGTGTGAGGCTTTCTTCTTTCTTTGTAGGATTGGCGACTCCAACCCCAGAAGTAGCAGGCATTTTGGGATGTCCAAGGTTCTGCAGTGAACGTGTCCTGTTCCTGGTAAAGGTGTGGGCGTTCCTGGACACGAAGGTATCTATCTTCATGCCTTGCCCGTGTGCCCAGTCCCCCACCAGATGCTGTTTGCCTTTTGGGCCCCTGATTTGCTGCACTGCTGCGCCCTGATCCTTGCAGAGGGGTAAGTGACACCTTTGTCCCTTCCAGAAAGCGCTCTCCACTTTCCTCTCGCTGGTCATCAGCAGCACTGTCCCTCTCTCGCCAGGCTCTCATTGGTCAGCGGCAGGGCCGTCCCGCCCTCGTCAGCCTGTGATTGGTGATTGGCAGTGCCGTCCCGCCCTTGCCAGCCTGTGATCGGTCAGCGGCAGTGCCGTCCCGCCCTCGTGTGCCTCTCATTGGTGATCGACAGCACCGTCCCGCCCTATCAGCGTCTCATTGGTGATCGACAGCACCGTCCCGCCCTATCAGCGTCTCATTGGTCATCGGCAGCACCGTCCCGCCCCCGCCAGCCTCTCATTGGTCATCGGCAGCGCTGTCCCGCCCTCGCCAGTCTTTCATTGGTCATCGACAGCTCCATCCCGCCTCCGCCAGCATCTCATTGGACAGCAGCAGCCTTTTCCCCGCCTTTTCCCCACCTTTTCCCCGCCTATCTCTTCACCTTCCCCCAGCCCCTTTTCCCCTTTCCTTTTCCTTCTTCTCATGTCCTGTTTTTTTCTTCCAGGTCCCCTTTTTACTGTCCCTTCCCCCTTTTATCTCCCTTTTTTTTTGCCCATTTTTCCCCCTCTTCTCCTCTCTCCTTTTCTCCTCCTCATCTCCTTTTCTTTTTCCTCCCTTTCTCATTCTTCTTTTCCCCTTTCCCCTCTTGTCTTCCTTTCCCTTTTGCCCCCTTTACTCTCCTCTTCTTCGCCTCCTTCTTCTTCTTTTTGCCCCCATCCCCACTTCCTCTTTCACCCCCTTTACCCCTTTTCCTCCCCATCTCCCTTTTCTCCCCGTCCCCCTTTTTTGTTTTCCTTTTCCTCTTTTTCTCCCCCTTCCTTTCCCACCCCCTCGACCCCATTCCTTTTCCTTCCCCATCGTCCCCTTTTCTTCCAAAGCCCATTCCATTCGCAGTGCGATAGCGGCTCCTGCGAGCAGCCGAGCCCCGAGCAGCAGCGCTGCGTCTTGGCTCCCCCATTGCCCGCTGCTGAGCTCTTCCTGCCCTGGCTCCTCATTGGCTGAGCGCTGCAGCTTCCTCTTTTTGGCGACGCTTCACCACTCGCACAAACAGCCAGCAGACGCACATCTTTGCTGCCCAAACACACGCAGGCCTTCATTGCTTCATTGCTTTCTCACCACTGCTCTCTTAACCAACGTGCGGTCGAACTTGCGGCTCTCAGGTTTTCAGCATCAACACAGACACAGCCTCTGAATTGCTTCATTACCCCCTGCCATTCGTGACCTTCCCGCTGCTCGTCGTTCTGCTCATCCGGCAGTCCTTCCGCAGTGCTGAGCTCGGCAGGAGGACAGAGGGGAGCAGCTGGGAGCCTCACAGCCTCCTCACATTCCCACGCAGCGGGACAGCGCTGCTGCGTGCGATGGCCCTGATTCCTCCCTCGTCCCCCTTTTTCTTTTTTTCCTCCCTCATCCAACTTTTTCTTTTTTTCCTCCCTCGTCCCCGTTTTCCTTTTTTCAATCCGTTGTCCCCTTTTCCTTTTTTTCCTCCCCCATCCCCCTCTTCTTTTTTTCCCTGCCTCGCACCCTTTTCCTTTTTCCTTTTCATGCACTTCCTGCTATCCCACCTTTTCCCCGCCTTCCCTCATCTCTTCTTGCACTCTTTGACCCCTTTTGCTCCCCCCATCCTTATTTCTCTTCACATTCCCCTGTTCTTTTTTCCCCTTTCCTCTTCTTCATCCCCAGCTCCGCTTCCCCCCACCTCACGTCCCCTTTCTTCTATCCCTGTACCCCATTTTTACCTTTTTTTACCCGCCCTCTTTTTGTGTTCTCTGCTGTCCCCTATTCCCTTTTTCCTCTTTGCTCTCTCTCTCCTTTCTCCCCCCTCATCCTGTTACAGAAGAGAGTGATGGACAAGCTTGTGCAGGATGGCAGCAGCAGGGTGGAAGCCCAGGTGGGTGCGATGAAGCCGGGGGGGGGACTGGGTGGAGCCCGAGCCCTGCCTGAGCTCATTTAAGGGCTGGGAATGGCCGGGCTCAGATGTGTGCCTGGGCTTCTGGTGTCAGTGAGGTTGGGTGAGCAGTGAGGTTTGGGAGGGACCGACTTGTTGGCCTTGAGATTGATGCCCAGCTCCTTGCTCGTCGCATTCTGTTTGGCTCGAGGTTCCGGACACAGCTTGCTCTTCTAAGCAGCGTGAGGACTGCGAGAAAGACTTTGTTGGATGCAGCAGGAAAGCACAGCCGCTGGTGGATGCCAGTGTCCGCTCCTGAGGCTCTGCGCCAAGGTACGTGGATCCCTGCCGTCTCCTGTTTCACACGCTCGCTCAGGTCCTTTGGGGCTTGGTGTCGCTTGTCCCTCGTGCTCCCGTTGCTGTCACCGGGTGTTGTTCCTTTGCCCATGCTCAGCTCTGCCCAGTGCTGATGGGATGCCAGTGGCACCTGCTGCTCTTAAGAAAAGGTAGGTTTGATTTCTTTTGGTTTCCATAGCATTTGCTACACTTTCATTCTGTCTCTCTTCTTTTTTTTTTTTTTTTTTTTCTTTTTGCTCTCAATAAATGGCAGGTTCAATTCCTTTTGGCTCCTGTAGTGTTTGCTACACGTGTGTTCTGTTTCTCTTCTCTTTTTTCCATGTTGCCTGGCGGTGCCTCGCTGGAGTTCCCATGAGCCCCGGGCCCACTTGTGACCAAGTGAGGTGCCAAAAACAGAGGTATCTCCTAAACAGGCTTGTGCTGAGTGCTGTCCTCGTCTTGGGCTTTGTCCAATGCCCACCTTTCTTTTCTAGCCCACTTTGTTGAGGACGGCGTGTGAGGCTTTCTTCTTTCTTTGTAGGATTGGCGACTCCAGCCCCAGAAGTAGCAGGCATTTTGGGATGTCCAAGGTTCTGCAGTGAACGTGTCCTGTTCCTGGTAAAGGTGTGGGCGTTCCTGGACACGAAGGTATCTATCTTCATGCCTTGCCCGTGTGCCCAGTCCCCCACCAGATGCTGTTCGCCTTTTGGGCCCCTGATTTGCTGCACTGCTGCGCCCTGATCCTTGCAGAGGGGTAAGTGACACCTTTGTCCCTTCCAGAAAGCGCTCTCCACTTTCCTCTCGCTGGTCATCAGCAGCACTGTCCCTCTCTCGCCAGGCTCTCATTGGTCAGCGGCAGGGCCGTCCCGCCCTCGTCAGCCTGTGATTGGTGATTGGCAGTGCCGTCCCGCCCTTGCCAGCCTGTGATCGGTCAGCGGCAGTGCCGTCCCGCCCTCGTGTGCCTCTCATTGGTGATCGACAGCACCGTCCCGCCCTATCAGCGTCTCATTGGTGATCGACAGCACCGTCCCGCCCTATCAGCGTCTCATTGGTCATCGGCAGCACCGTCCCGCCCCCGCCAGCCTCTCATTGGTCATCGGCAGCGCTGTCCCGCCCTCGCCAGTCTTTCATTGGTCATCGACAGCTCCATCCCGCCTCCGCCAGCATCTCATTGGACAGCAGCAGCCTTTTCCCCGCCTTTTCCCCACCTTTTCCCCGCCTATCTCTTCACCTTCCCCCAGCCCCTTTTCCCCTTTCCTTTTCCTTCTTCTCATGTCCTGTTTTTTTCTTCCAGGTCCCCTTTTTACTGTCCCTTCCCCCTTTTATCTCCCTTTTTTTTGCCCATTTTTCCCCCTCTTCTCCTCTCTCCTTTTCTCCTCCTCATCTCCTTTTCTTTTTCCTCCCTTTCTCATTCTTCTTTTCCCCTTTCCCCTCTTGTTTTCCTTTCCCTTTGGCCCCTTTTACTCTCCTCCTCTTCTTCGCCCCCTTCTTCTTCTTTTTGCCCCCATCCCCACTTCCCCTTTCACCCCCTTTACCCCTTTTCCTCCCCATCTCCCTTTTCTCCCCGTCCCCCTTTTTTGTTTTCCTTTTCCTCTTTTTCTCCCCCTTCCTTTCCCACCCCCTCGACCCCATTCCTTTTCCTTCCCCATCGTCCCCTTTTCTTCCAAAGCCCATTCCATTCGCAGTGCGATAGCGGCTCCTGCGAGCAGCCGAGCCCCGAGCAGCAGCGCTGCGTCTTGGCTCCCCCATTGCCCGCTGCTGAGCTCTTCCTGCCCTGGCTCCTCATTGGCTGAGCGCTGCAGCTTCCTCTTTTTGGCGACGCTTCACCACTCGCACAAACAGCCAGCAGACACACATCTTTGCTGCCCAAACACACGCAGGCCTTCATTGCTTCATTGCTTTCTCACCACTGCTCTCTTAACCAACGTGCGGTCGAACTTGCGGCTCTCAGGTTTTCAGCATCAACACAGACACAGCCTCTGAATTGCTTCATTACCCCCTGCCATTTGTGACCTTCCCGCTGCTCGTCGTTCTGCTCATCTGGCAGTCCTTCCGCAGTGCTGAGCTCGGCAGGAGGACAGAGGGGAGCAGCTGGGAGCCTCACAGCCTCCTCACGTTCCCACGCAGCGGGACAGCGCTGCTGCGTGCGATGGCCCTGATTCCTCCCTCATCCCCCTTTTTCTTTTTTTCCTCCCTCATCCAACTTTTTCTTTTTTTCCTCCCTCGTCCCCGTTTTCCTTTTTTCAATCCGTTGTCCCCTTTTCCTTTTTTTCCTCCCCCATCCCCCTCTTCTTTTTTTCCCTGCCTCGCACCCTTTTCCTTTTTCCTTTTCATGCACTTCCTGCTATCCCACCTTTTCCCCGCCTTCCCTCATCTCTTCTTGCACTCTTTGACCCCTTTTGCTCCCCCCATCCTTATTTCTCTTCACATTCCCCTGTTCTTTTTTCCCCTTTCCTCTTCTTCATCCCCAGCTCCGCTTCCCCCCACCTCACGTCCCCTTTCTTCTATCCCTGTACCCCATTTTTACCTTTTTTTACCCGCCCTCTTTTTGTGTTCTCTGCTGTCCCCTATTCCCTTTTTCCTCTTTGCTCTCTCTCTCCTTTCTCCCCCCTCATCCTGTTACAGAAGAGAGTGATGGACAAGCTTGTGCAGGATGGCAGCAGCAGGGTGGAAGCCCAGGTGGGTGCGATGAAGCCGGGGGGGGGACTGGGTGGAGCCCGAGCCCTGCCTGAGCTCATTTAAGGGCTGGGAATGGCCGGGCTCAGATGTGTGCCTGGGCTTCTGGTGTCAGTGAGGTTGGGTGAGCAGTGAGGTTTGGGAGGGACCGACTTGTTGGCCTTGAGATTGATGCCCAGCTCCTTGCTCGTCGCATTCTGTTTGGCTCGAGGTTCCGGACACGGCTTGCTCTTCTAAGCAGCGTGAGGACTGCGAGAAAGACTTTGTTGGATGCAGCAGGAAAGCACAGCCGCTGGTGGATGCCAGTGTCCGCTCCTGAGGCTCTGCGCCAAGGTACGTGGATCCCTGCCGTCTCCTGTTTCACACGCTCGCTCAGGTCCTTTGGGGCTTGGTGTCGCTTGTCCCTCGTGCTCCCGTTGCTGTCACCGGGTGTTGTTCCTTTCCCCATGCTCAGCTCTGCCCAGTGCTGATGGGATGCCAGTGCCACCTGCTGCTCTTAAGAAAAGGTAGGTTTGATTTCTTTTGGTTTCCATAGCATTTGCTACACTTTCATTCTGTCTCTCTTCTTTTTTTTTTTTTTTTTTTTCTTTTTGCTCTCAATAAATGGCAGGTTCAATTCCTTTTGGCTCCTGTAGTGTTTGCTACACGTGTGTTCTGTTTCTCTTCTCTTTTTTCCATGTTGCCTGGCGGTGCCTGGCTGGAGTTCCCATGAGCCCCGGGCCCACTTGTGACCAAGTGAGGTGCCAAAAACAGAGGTATCTCCTAAACAGGCTTGTGCTGAGTGCTGTCCTCGTCTTGGGCTTTGTCCAATGCCCACCTTTCTTTTCTAGCCCACTTTGTTGAGGACGGCGTGTGAGGCTTTCTTCTTTCTTTGTAGGATTGGCGACTCCAGCCCCAGAAGTAGCAGGCATTTTGGGATGTCCAAGGTTCTGCAGTGAACGTGTCCTGTTCCTGGTAAAGGTGTGGGCATTCCTGGACACGAAGGTATCTATCTTCATGCCTTGCCCGTGTGCCCAGTCCCCCACCAGATGCTGTTCGCCTTTTGGGCCCCTGATTTGCTGCACTGCTGCGCCCTGATCCTTGCAGAGGGGTAAGTGACACCTTTGTCCCTTCCAGAAAGCGCTCTCCACTTTCCTCTCGCTGGTCATCAGCAGCACTGTCCCTCTCTCGCCAGGCTCTCATTGGTCAGCGGCAGGGCCGTCCCGCCCTCGTCAGCCTGTGATTGGTGATTGGCAGTGCCGTCCCGCCCTTGCCAGCCTGTGATCGGTCAGCGGCAGTGCCGTCCCGCCCTCGTGTGCCTCTCATTGGTGATCGACAGCACCGTCCCGCCCTATCAGCGTCTCATTGGTGATCGACAGCACCGTCCCGCCCTATCAGCGTCTCATTGGTCATCGGCAGCACCGTCCCGCCCCCGCCAGCCTCTCATTGGTCATCGGCAGCGCTGTCCCGCCCTCGCCAGTCTTTCATTGGTCATCGACAGCTCCATCCCGCCTCCGCCAGCATCTCATTGGACAGCAGCAGCCTTTTCCCCGCCTTTTCCCCACCTTTTCCCCGCCTATCTCTTCACCTTCCCCCAGCCCCTTTTCCCCTTTCCTTTTCCTTCTTCTCATGTCCTGTTTTTTTCTTCCAGGTCCCCTTTTTACTGTCCCTTCCCCCTTTTATCTCCCTTTTTTTTGCCCATTTTTCCCCCTCTTCTCCTCTCTCCTTTTCTCCTCCTCATCTCCTTTTCTTTTTCCTCCCTTTCTCATTCTTCTTTTCCCCTTTCCCCTCTTGTCTTCCTTTCCCTTTTGCCCCCTTTACTCTCCTCTTCTTCGCCTCCTTCTTCTTCTTTTTGCCCCCATCCCCACTTCCTCTTTCACCCCCTTTACCCCTTTTCCTCCCCATCTCCCTTTTCTCCCCGTCCCCCTTTTTTGTTTTCCTTTTCCTCTTTTTCTCCCCCTTCCTTTCCCACCCCCTCGACCCCATTCCTTTTCCTTCCCCATCGTCCCCTTTTCTTCCAAAGCCCATTCCATTCGCAGTGCGATAGCGGCTCCTGCGAGCAGCCGAGCCCCGAGCAGCAGCGCTGCGTCTTGGCTCCCCCATTGCCCGCTGCTGAGCTCTTCCTGCCCTGGCTCCTCATTGGCTGAGCGCTGCAGCTTCCTCTTTTTGGCGACGCTTCACCACTCGCACAAACAGCCAGCAGACGCACATCTTTGCTGCCCAAACACACGCAGGCCTTCATTGCTTCATTGCTTTCTCACCACTGCTCTCTTAACCAACGTGCGGTCGAACTTGCGGCTCTCAGGTTTTCAGCATCAACACAGACACAGCCTCTGAATTGCTTCATTACCCCCTGCCATTCGTGACCTTCCCGCTGCTCGTCGTTCTGCTCATCCGGCAGTCCTTCCGCAGTGCTGAGCTCGGCAGGAGGACAGAGGGGAGCAGCTGGGAGCCTCACAGCCTCCTCACGTTCCCACGCAGCGGGACAGCGCTGCTGCGTGCGATGGCCCTGATTCCTCCCTCGTCCCCCTTTTTCTTTTTTTCCTCCCTCATCCAACTTTTTCTTTTTTTCCTCCCTCGTCCCCGTTTTCCTTTTTTCAATCCGTTGTCCCCTTTTCCTTTTTTTCCTCCCCCATCCCCCTCTTCTTTTTTTCCCTGCCTCGCACCCTTTTCCTTTTTCCTTTTCATGCACTTCCTGCTATCCCACCTTTTCCCCGCCTTCCCTCATCTCTTCTTGCACTCTTTGACCCCTTTTGCTCCCCCCATCCTTATTTCTCTTCACATTCCCCTGTTCTTTTTTCCCCTTTCCTCTTCTTCATCCCCAGCTCCGCTTCCCCCCACCTCACGTCCCCTTTCTTCTATCCCTGTACCCCATTTTTACCTTTTTTTACCCGCCCTCTTTTTGTGTTCTCTGCTGTCCCCTATTCCCTTTTTCCTCTTTGCTCTCTCTCTCCTTTCTCCCCCCTCATCCTGTTACAGAAGAGAGTGATGGACAAGCTTGTGCAGGATGGCAGCAGCAGGGTGGAAGCCCAGGTGGGTGCGATGAAGCCGGGGGGGGGACTGGGTGGAGCCCGAGCCCTGCCTGAGCTCATTTAAGGGCTGGGAATGGCCGGGCTCAGATGTGTGCCTGGGCTTCTGGTGTCAGTGAGGTTGGGTGAGCAGTGAGGTTTGGGAGGGACCGACTTGTTGGCCTTGAGATTGATGCCCAGCTCCTTGCTCGTCGCATTCTGTTTGGCTCGAGGTTCCGGACACGGCTTGCTCTTCTAAGCAGCGTGAGGACTGCGAGAAAGACTTTGTTGGATGCAGCAGGAAAGCACAGCCGCTGGTGGATGCCAGTGTCCGCTCCTGAGGCTCTGCGCCAAGGTACGTGGATCCCTGCCGTCTCCTGTTTCACACGCTCGCTCAGGTCCTTTGGGGCTTGGTGTCGCTTGTCCCTCGTGCTCCCGTTGCTGTCACCGGGTGTTGTTCCTTTCCCCATGCTCAGCTCTGCCCAGTGCTGATGGGATGCCAGTGCCACCTGCTGCTCTTAAGAAAAGGTAGGTTTGATTTCTTTTGGTTTCCATAGCATTTGCTACACTTTCATTCTGTCTCTCTTCTTTTTTTTTTTTTTTTTTCTTTTTGCTCTCAATAAATGGCAGGTTCAATTCCTTTTGGCTCCTGTAGTGTTTGCTACACGTGTGTTCTGTTTCTCTTCTCTTTTTTCCATGTTGCCTGGCGGTGCCTCGCTGGAGTTCCCATGAGCCCCGAGCCCACTTGTGACCAAGTGAGGTGCCAAAAACAGAGGTATCTCCTAAACAGGCTTGTGCTGAGTGCTGTGCTCGTCTTGGGCTTTGTCCAATGCCCACCTTTCTTTTCTAGCCCACTTTGTTGAGGACGGCGTGTGAGGCTTTCTTCTTTCTTTGTAGGATTGGCGACTCCAGCCCCAGAAGTAGCAGGCATTTTGGGATGTCCAAGGTTCTGCAGTGAACGTGTCCTGTTCCTGGTAAAGGTGTGGGCATTCCTGGACACGAAGGTATCTATCTTCATGCCTTGCCCGTGTGCCCAGTCCCCCACCAGATGCTGTTCGCCTTTTGGGCCCCTGATTTGCTGCACTGCTGCGCCCTGATCCTTGCAGAGGGGTAAGTGACACCTTTGTCCCTTCCAGAAAGCGCTCTCCACTTTCCTCTCGCTGGTCATCAGCAGCACTGTCCCTCTCTCGCCAGGCTCTCATTGGTCAGCGGCAGGGCCGTCCCGCCCTCGTCAGCCTGTGATTGGTGATTGGCAGTGCCGTCCCGCCCTTGCCAGCCTGTGATCGGTCAGCGGCAGTGCCGTCCCGCCCTCGTGTGCCTCTCATTGGTGATCGACAGCACCGTCCCGCCCTATCAGCGTCTCATTGGTGATCGACAGCACCGTCCCGCCCTATCAGCGTCTCATTGGTCATCGGCAGCACCGTCCCGCCCCCGCCAGCCTCTCATTGGTCATCGGCAGCGCTGTCCCGCCCTCGCCAGTCTTTCATTGGTCATCGACAGCTCCATCCCGCCTCCGCCAGCATCTCATTGGACAGCAGCAGCCTTTTCCCCGCCTTTTCCCCACCTTTTCCCCGCCTATCTCTTCACCTTCCCCCAGCCCCTTTTCCCCTTTCCTTTTCCTTCTTCTCATGTCCTGTTTTTTTCTTCCAGGTCCCCTTTTTACTGTCCCTTCCCCCTTTTATCTCCCTTTTTTTTGCCCATTTTTCCCCCTCTTCTCCTCTCTCCTTTTCTCCTCCTCATCTCCTTTTCTTTTTCCTCCCTTTCTCATTCTTCTTTTCCCCTTTCCCCTCTTGTCTTCCTTTCCCTTTTGCCCCCTTTACTCTCCTCTTCTTCGCCTCCTTCTTCTTCTTTTTGCCCCCATCCCCACTTCCTCTTTCACCCCCTTTACCCCTTTTCCTCCCCATCTCCCTTTTCTCCCCGTCCCCCTTTTTTGTTTTCCTTTTCCTCTTTTTCTCCCCCTTCCTTTCCCACCCCCTCGACCCCATTCCTTTTCCTTCCCCATCGTCCCCTTTTCTTCCAAAGCCCATTCCATTCGCAGTGCGATAGCGGCTCCTGCGAGCAGCCGAGCCCCGAGCAGCAGCGCTGCGTCTTGGCTCCCCCATTGCCCGCTGCTGAGCTCTTCCTGCCCTGGCTCCTCATTGGCTGAGCGCTGCAGCTTCCTCTTTTTGGCGACGCTTCACCACTCGCACAAACAGCCAGCAGACGCACATCTTTGCTGCCCAAACACACGCAGGCCTTCATTGCTTCATTGCTTTCTCACCACTGCTCTCTTAACCAACGTGCGGTCGAACTTGCGGCTCTCAGGTTTTCAGCATCAACACAGACACAGCCTCTGAATTGCTTCATTACCCCCTGCCATTCGTGACCTTCCCGCTGCTCGTCGTTCTGCTCATCCGGCAGTCCTTCCGCAGTGCTGAGCTCGGCAGGAGGACAGAGGGGAGCAGCTGGGAGCCTCACAGCCTCCTCACGTTCCCACGCAGCGGGACAGCGCTGCTGCGTGCGATGGCCCTGATTCCTCCCTCGTCCCCCTTTTTCTTTTTTTCCTCCCTCATCCAACTTTTTCTTTTTTTCCTCCCTCGTCCCCGTTTTCCTTTTTTCAATCCGTTGTCCCCTTTTCCTTTTTTTCCTCCCCCATCCCCCTCTTCTTTTTTTCCCTGCCTCGCACCCTTTTCCTTTTTCCTTTTCATGCACTTCCTGCTATCCCACCTTTTCCCCGCCTTCCCTCATCTCTTCTTGCACTCTTTGACCCCTTTTGCTCCCCCCATCCTTATTTCTCTTCACATTCCCCTGTTCTTTTTTCCCCTTTCCTCTTCTTCATCCCCAGCTCCGCTTCCCCCCACCTCACGTCCCCTTTCTTCTATCCCTGTACCCCATTTTTACCTTTTTTTACCCGCCCTCTTTTTGTGTTCTCTGCTGTCCCCTATTCCCTTTTTCCTCTTTGCTCTCTCTCTCCTTTCTCCCCCCTCATCCTGTTACAGAAGAGAGTGATGGACAAGCTTGTGCAGGATGGCAGCAGCAGGGTGGAAGCCCAGGTGGGTGCGATGAAGCCGGGGGGGGGACTGGGTGGAGCCCGAGCCCTGCCTGAGCTCATTTAAGGGCTGGGAATGGCCGGGCTCAGATGTGTGCCTGGGCTTCTGGTGTCAGTGAGGTTGGGTGAGCAGTGAGGTTTGGGAGGGACCGACTTGTTGGCCTTGAGATTGATGCCCAGCTCCTTGCTCGTCGCATTCTGTTTGGCTCGAGGTTCCGGACACGGCTTGCTCTTCTAAGCAGCGTGAGGACTGCGAGAAAGACTTTGTTGGATGCAGCAGGAAAGCACAGCCGCTGGTGGATGCCAGTGTCCGCTCCTGAGGCTCTGCGCCAAGGTACGTGGATCCCTGCCGTCTCCTGTTTCACACGCTCGCTCAGGTCCTTTGGGGCTTGGTGTCGCTTGTCCCTCGTGCTCCCGTTGCTGTCACCGGGTGTTGTTCCTTTCCCCATGCTCAGCTCTGCCCAGTGCTGATGGGATGCCAGTGCCACCTGCTGCTCTTAAGAAAAGGTAGGTTTGATTTCTTTTGGTTTCCATAGCATTTGCTACACTTTCCTTCTGTCTCTCTTCTTTTTTTTTTCTGTTTGCTCTCAATAAATGGAAGGTTGAATTCATTTTGGCTCCTGTAGAATTTGCTACACGTGTGTTCTGTTTCTCTTTTTTTCCATGTTGCCTGGCGGTGCCTTGCCGGAGTTCCCATGCCCACTTGTGACCAAGTGAGGTGCCCTGATGCGCCCTGATCCTTGCAGAGGGGTAAGTGACACCTTTGTCCCTTCCAGAAAGCGCTCTCCACTTTCCTCTCTTTGGTCATCGACAGCGCCGTCCTGCTCTTGCCAGCTTGTGAATGGTCATCGGCAGCGCGGTCCCGCCCCCATGTGCCTCTCATTTTGGCACCGCACTTGGTCAGAAGAGTGCCCTGGGGTCATGGGAACTCCAGTGAGGCACCGCCAGGCAACATGGAAAAAAGAGAAGAGAAATAGAACAAGTGTAGCAAATGCTACCGGAGCCAAAATGAATTGAACCTGCCATTTATTGATAGCAAAAAAAAAAAAAAAAGAAGAGAGACAGAATGAAAGTGTAGCAAATGTGTTGTCAGCAACTGGGAGACTGCAAAACCCCTCCGCGGGGTGTGACGTGTTAGGCCCCCTCCCTGCTCTTTGATTGATGCGTGGTGTGTGCCCTTAGGGGCGTAGACTAAGTCCTTAGGCTATACAAGTTAATGTATATGTGTAATAAACGCCATTTGCTGTTCACCACATTGGTGTCATCTCGGAAATTGGCCAAGCTGCAGTTTCCCAGTAATATGGAACGGGCGCATATGGCAACAAGTGGTGACCTCGACCAACGATTCCTGGGAGTGAATCAGCTGTCTGCCAATGGAGCAGGAGTTCATTGCGGAGCGGGTAAATTCAAATCCGCGGAGTAGTGGAAGCCCAGGGACGGGGAGGAGTGCGCATTACTCCTTGTCAGGTGGGAGGCTCGGGAAAAGGAGCCAGGATCCCCCTAGGATGTTAGGGGAAGCGCCAGGAAGAGGCCAGGCATATGTTCGGCCGGAGGCGATATGGAAGCCGTCATAAAGGTGTTTCTGCATGCATGCAAAATTTATTGTGGGAAAAATGTTCCTTCTAAGAAGGAAATTTCAGCAACACTCTCCTTGCTGGAGAAGGAGGGGCTAATAATTATCATCCCCTTCTGACCTATATGATCCTGATATATGACCCGGATTCATTTACTGTTGTGCTCTCACAGAGGGCAATGTCCACTCAAAAAGTTGTGGAGTTTAAAGTGTGGGGATTAATTTTGACAGCTCTTAGGAAAGCGAGAGAGGAGAAAATTGCAGATGACCGTGCTAGGTGTTAGGGGCGGGGGGGGTCTTGTCTCCCCTACAGGTTTGCTGGAGGGCAAGATGGCGCTGACTCCTTTGGCCCCACCAGAAACAACGACCCTGGGGATAAAGAAGAACGAAATGGAGCAGGAACGATTTGACCATAAAAGGAGGACCCACCTCCTTTTAAGCCCTTTAAAGATAAAGGGAGAGAGGGGCCTGCGGAGGAATGCTGTATAACTTTTAGCACAGTTGATAAGAAGGTCTTTGGGGAGGGAGAGATGTCTGGAGGAGTTGTGGTGCGGCCTGTGGAATGCGACAGCGGGGAAGGACTCATCTATTGCCTGAATCCGCTTGCTACGGCGGCCACCCCCCGAGGGGTGTGGATGACCCCGCAGTGTTTTGCTGTGGGAGGGGCGCTCCAACGCGGATGACCCCGGGGTCCGCTCAGGAGGGGCGTGGTCCCATATCGACAGCTTCATGGGGCCCGCCTACCCTCACTGATTGGGCTCGTGTGAGAGAGGACATACGAGCTGCAGATCCAGCAGGTACCGCACTTACTCTCCCGGTGGTGGTAAAACCAGAGGATCCAGTTTGGACTCCTTTGGATTCCAAAGTGATCACTCGCCTTTCGGATTTAGTTAAAATCAAAGGTCTGTGTTCCCATGTTACCATGGCAGCAGTGGAAGCTCTTATGGCTTCTAGTCTCCTGCCATATGATGTGGTGAACCTTATGCATGTTATTCTTGAACCTGTACAATACACCCTGTGGTATGATGAATGGAATAGATTACTTCAAGCTGTGGTGGCTGCTGCCACCCGCGACCCCCACCATCCAGCCAACGGCCAGCGCCGAGGCAATAGAACTAATCTTGCACCTCTTCAGAGCCTGGCAGATGGAATGGTGGGATTCCTGGAGGGACAAGCAACATTGCTTAGACAGGAGAGCTGGCAGCCGTTACAACTGCAGCCCTTCAAGCCCTGCGAGAATTGGCTAAGGTTGCAGAACCTGTGCTTCCATGGGCAGAAATCAAGCAGGGCCCCTCTGAGTCATTTTCTGACTTTGCGAATCGCCTGATCCGTGCAGTGGAGGAATCTGATCTCCCACGGGAGGTCCCATCGCCAGTCATAATAGATTGTCTTAAGCAGAAATTGCTGCCAGACATCCAGCAAATCATCAGAGCAGCACCGGGAACTCTAACTACCCCAGGGGAGCTTATTAAATATGTATTAGATCATCAGAGGGTCATACCATTAACTAATGAGGGACTAGCAGCCGCCATGCAGGGATGGCTGCTTCAGTTAGTTCTGCAGTTAAGACCGCGGTGATGTCAGCCACTCGGGTCGGGGAAGAAAGGGATAAAGGCCCATGCTTTACGTGTGGGCAGCGTGGTCACTTCAAGGCGCAGTGCCTTGAGAAGACGGGCCAGGGTGGTTCACAGGGACCAGAGAGGTGGTGCCAATTATGTGGCGGAGCTGGACATGTTGCACACCAATGTTGGAAGTTTGTCATAGTGCCGCAGGGAAACGGGAGAGGGAGGGTGCCAATGGCCCAGGGCCCCTCCCCGGGAACACCAAATGGGCCAGACAATGCAACTCTGCCTACCCAAGATCGGGGTCCCGTACCTCAGTGAGCCCCTCGCCCATTGTGGCGTTAACCATGGGAATGGGGGAGCGCCTCTTGGGCAGGATTATGCTTACTTGTGCGGGGAGCGTGCTTTCTTGCAGGTCCACTGAGGAAGAGAACACCGTAAATATGCCCTCAGACTACTAACATCTCGTCCGCACCATTGGCATCCCCCTTCACCACCCCCTCGGATTCAGCTTCGCATAAACAAGTAGAAGAAGAACACTGCACTGAACTGTCTGCACTTTTATCTTGCAAAACGGCTCAAGTGCAGGAACCCAAGGTCGCTGAAACTCCCCAGCCATATCCAAGACAACCGCTGTATCCTTCTCTGTGTAACCTAACACCACCTGTGGGGGCAGGGAGAAAAGTGAGCTGGGATGGGATACTTGCCGTTTCATCTCAGGAGGTGGAATGCAGTAACACCCAGGGGGGTGGGGACTGTGGGCAAGGCTCAGGTATGGATTGCTCAAAAGTTAGAGAAGCGGTAGAAGAAAAAACAGCAGAGAGAAAGGGAAGCGATGTAACTTGCAGGTGCTCGGATGATAGTGTACAGCCAGCACTGTCCACTCTGACTGCACCTGAAGGTGTAGGTGGCACCCGGCCGGCGCCCTCTGCTCAGGTTACACCCGACGGAGAAAGAAATAACGATAGTCTCTGGACCCACTCTCTGCCACAGTGTACAGACCCATTGACTCGACCCACACATCCTTTTACAAGATTGAGTGCGCATGGAACCAATCAGAAGCCTCTACAACAGTCAGTGTATGATCAAAGGGAGATGGGCACAGTGGGAGCGGTGCGGAGCTCGCAGCTTACAGCTGTGACTGAACAGGATAGCGAAAGGAGAAAGGTGAATTTGAATTTGGCAGTTAAGAGAGATGGACTAACAGATTGTGGGAAGTTTAGATCTAGCCTGATAGACGAAGGAAAAGTACTAGAGATCTTCCTGGCAGTAGGGAACGGTAACAGAGGCCTGGGAGGGGTATCCCTCAATCGGAAAGACATCACATGCCTGATAAATTGTGTAGAGAAACAGGGATTGAAATCACTCCTTGCTTTAAATGCATTAGAAATCCTGACAGTATTAGGCCTTCTCTTTCTGCATGTAACAAATCTGATGTGCATGGTTCTTAAGCCAGTGCAGTATACATTGTGGGCAATAGAATGGGTTCCCTTCAGGGACAGACGGCCAGATTGAGGCCTGGAGAACAAGCAATTCCATACAGCAGGTTTGTGAGAGCAGTGCTCTCAAGGCTTGAGACATCTGCCTTGATATTGAACAGACGTTTCTTATTTTTGAGGTATGTTCCAACAGGTACCTGAGACAATGTTGGTATATATTGGGCATATATACTGCCACTAGAGCTATCAGCAATTACTCTAATCTCTAATCTCTCTGTCTATAACTTTACTAGTAATGTAGGGTTATTAGGGTAGGATTATTTTGCGAATCGGGATGTAAC